ACGGACGGACGGACGGACGGACGGACGGACGGACGGACGGACGGACGGACGGACGGACGGACGGACAGACAGATAGCTAGATAGATAGATAGATAGAGGACCTGTCCAAATATAATTGTTCGAAAATAAATTATGTTTGGCTATGGTTGTTATAGGTTTTTCGGGCTGTTTGGCCATGTTCTGGAACATAGATAACCAAACACAGGTATGTTTGGCTACTTCAAAATAATGAATATTCACAGTAGGAAACTATGGCAGACTCCAACTGATGAACTTGTAAGTTATGCATATTTTGCTGTTGCTAACTGTGGCTAAATACCAAGGTCCCAGGGTGTATACTAATTCTGTGCCTGACCACACACCCAATTTTGCAACTGAGATGTATCCAGGTGCCTTATCAATTAGTGCAATTAGCAACAGCAAGTTACACAATCCTTATGTGAACACTAACAAGATGTCAGCTTATGAAGATTGGAAATTAAAGTTACAGTGCGCATGGTCGCCTTCCTGAATAAATACCTTTGATGTGAAAAATGGGACTCAATTTTAAGTAGACAGTTTTTCACTTAAAGCTTGAGCAGCTAAAAAGAACGACAGTAAAGCTGTACTGAAAAGCACTGACTTGCAGAAACAAAACTGAACCATCAATAAACCTGAAAAATTATCACATTTTCTGTTGTTATAGCAAAATTCAGAACTATCACTTACGGTGTTCTGCATTCTCATTTCAAATGCTGCATGTCTAGGATTGCTGATCGGCTGATGGCTTGATCTGTTTCCCCTCCCCAAAGGTTGTGGGGTGAACTGTCCACCAGGCATAGAATGTTGTTCCCTCTAAATTGAACATGCACCCATTAGCAGATATATTGGCAACCATTTAACAGAAAGAGTATTATATTAAAAAGTGGATTTCTAGGAAGTATATATTGCCTTGCTTATGTTTCAGACCTAGCAAAATTTTCAAGCAAGTTTGCATATGATTTCTAGAAGGCAGGTCAACACTGTCAAGTGTGTGAAGAGGGAGGCAAAATGTTTACTGGGGTTTGACGGCACCATCACAGATACCTTTACATGCATCACACGACCAGTGGCGGTGCCTCCACTGATGAAAAAGACTGAATTTGGGCAGAAAAGGTGCATGTGGAGGGTGGCCTTGGATCTGCTGCTTCTAAAGTCCGTGCTGCTCCCCAGACATGGTTTTGGATGGATCTCTGCTCTGTTTTTCTTCCCCTTCCCATTACAAGAAAAAATGGTGGTGGGGTAGCAGGGATGTGGTGGCGCTACAGGTTAAACTGCAAAGCCTCTGGGCTGCAAAGTCAAAAGAGCAGCAGTTTGAATCCATGCGACGGAGTAAGCTCCCATTGCTTGTCCCAGCTCCTGCCAACCTAGCAGTTCGAAAGCATGTAAAAATGCAAGTAGATAAATAGGTACTACTACAGTGGGAAGGTTACGGCGTCCCATGTCTAGTCGCATTGGCCACATGACCACGGAAACTGTATATGGACAAACGCTGGCTCTATGGCTTGGAAACAGGGTGAGCACCACCCCCTAGTCAGACACAACTGGACAACTGTCAAGGGGAACCATACCTGATGGTTGGGTAGTCAGCAGAAACAATAGGAAAAAAGAGAGAAACCCCACACTGAAATCTAGATTGCACTGGCAGAACTGATGTGCTGATGAATAATTAACATTTATTTTACTTGGAATAAATATTAGGTACTCTTCAACAATCCTTCCATTGGAGTTTTTTGAAGTGCCTCAAACCTTCCAGCTAACACAGCTATCTGTCAAAATCATCAGAACACATCAGTGGGGATGCTATAATTTATCAGCATCATGAAATAAAGAAGGTCAAAACAATGTTCTAAAAATCTACCGCTTATATGTCACACTAAGGCTGCTTTCTCTGCTTTCTTTTATGAAATAGTAAGAATAGAAATGAACTGCAATTCTGAGGGAAAACATTCCACAGTAGGGAAGTAGCACAGACAAGCTCCTTCTTCACTGCCCATCAAGTAGGCCTCTGCAGGCACTTTTCTTTCTTTCTTTCTTTGTTTCTTTCTTTTTTAATTAACAACTTGGGATAAGGTAAGGGGTACAGGAGGTAAAGGGGCATATGAGGGGAGAAAAAAGGAGGGGAAAGAGAACACAAAATGTACTGACATCCAATCTATTCATATTACCATATCAACTCGACTTTCCACTTTTCTACTACAGTGGTGCCTCACTTAACTATGTTAATTGGTTCAAAAAACCATCGCTATGGGAAAACATCGCTAAGCGAAACACGTTTTCCCATAGAGATGCATTGAAAACCGGTTAATCCGTTCCAATGGGAACGAATTGCCGTCCTTAAGCGAAAATCCCCATAGGAAACATCGCTAAGCGATACAATGTTTCCCCCGTTGGAATGCATTGAAGCCTATTCAATTCATTCCAATGGTTTTGCGATGTCCGTTTTTGCAATTTTAAGTGTGTCTTAAAAGGTTCAAAAACGGTTTTAAATGCTTGGAATCGTTAGTGCACCTTCTAAAACGTGTGCAGACTTAATTTGGCTTTGTTCTGATTCTTCGTTAATTTTTGGTGAATTTTTTTCTCCCCCATTGGAATACATTGAACCCGATTTTAACAGCTGTCAAAGTCGGGTTCAATGCTTTCCAATGGGGGGGGGAATTCACCAAAGATTAACGAAGAGTCAGAAACTGTTTTAAATGCTTGGATTCATTAGAGCACCTTGTAAAACATGTGCAAACTTAATTTGGCTTTGTTCTGAGTCTTCGTTAATTTTTGGCAAATTTATTTTTTCGTTAATTTGTGGCTAATTTCCCCCCCCCCCCCCATTGAAATGCATTGAACCCAATTTTGACAGCTGTCAAAATCGGGTTCAATGCTTTCCAATGGGGGAAAAAATTCTTGAAAAAAAGACTGTTTTAATATTATGGGAATTGTCTGAAATAAAAATAGAATTTTAGGTAGAACATTCATTTTAATGGTTGCTATTCTTCCCATCTGCGATAGTTGTAATTTGTCCCATCTCTCCAAGCTAGTCTGTATCTCTTTCATCAACTTCATATAATTATCTTTAAATAATGTACTCGTTTTCTTTGTGATTTGGATCCCTAAGTAGCTAACTGTTTTCTTTTTGAAAAATTGTCTTTTCTAGCTGGGTATTGATTGCTTTAATTAATTTCAAAAATCTTTCTTCGACTTGTAGCACTTCCAATTATTCCAATTTAGATTATCAAAGGCTTTCTCCGCATCCAAGAATATCATCGCCATTTGCTTTTCTGGGTGTGCTTCATAGTATTCCAGAGTATTTAAAATTATCCTTATATTATTTTTCATCTGCTTTTTTGGGATCAAGCCCGACTGGTCTTCATGTATTGTCTGTATTAAAATTCTTTTCAATCTAGTTGCCAACATGGTTGCATATATTTTTTAATCCACATTTAGTAATGAGATCGGTCTGTAGTTTTTGATTTCTTTACCCTCCATGTTTTCCTTATGTATAAGAGAAATTATTGCTTCGGACCACGTTGGTGGCAGCTCTCCCTTTTCTTCTACATATTCCAAGCGTTTCTTATATGGTTTGAGCAATACATTTTCTAATTCTTTATAATATTCTGCTGGCAGACCATCTGGGCCTGGAGATTTCCTATTCTTTTGCTTTTTGAGGGCTTCTATAATTTCTGCATATGTTACAGGCTCATTTAAGGGCTGCATTTGGTCTTTAGTCATTTTCATTTTATTACACATTTTATTACTTTACATATTCTTTCTGAGCTTGTCTACTACCTTTCTATTGTATAAATTCAGACAGAAGTCCTCAACAATCGTTTTTATTTCTTCTTGTTTAAATTTCTCAGTCCCTGTTTCATCTTTCAATGTCCGTATTATTGGTTTCTCTTTCTCTTTCCTTAATTTATATGCTAACCATCTCCCCGGCTTGTTTGCATTTTCAAAAAAAATTTGCTTTGGAAATTTAAGCTTCTTTGCAGTTTCCTCAGTGAGCAATATATTTATCTGGTGTTGTACTAACTTTATTTTCTCTTTCAGTTCTGTATTTTGTTTGGTTTTGTTTCAGCTGTAATTCATCTGAGGCTAATCTATTTTCCAAAATCTTGTATTTTTTCGGTCTTTCTCTTTTTCGTTTTGATGCAAATCTTATGGCTGCTCCTCTTTAAAAATGCCTTACTTGCATCCCAGACCATTGTCATTGGTGTTTCTGGCCTCATATTGTGTTTGAAGAAGAAATCCATGTCTTCTTTTATTTGCTTAATGAATTCCTCATTTTTAGATATGAAGTATTGAGCTTCCAATTAAATTCCATTGATTTGCTACCCAGTTGTAATAAAATTGGACTGTGGTCTGCAAATGTGTTGGGTAAGATGTGTATTTGCTCCAATTCTTTCATTAGGCTTGTTGAGATCCAACACGCATCAATACTTGACCACAATTTATGGGTTACATGTCCTCCACACATCTATAATATTACGACAAGTAGAAAATTTCTTGAGATTGCTCCTCTTTTTTTGTTATTTTATCTGATTTTGTGTCTAGCTTGTCAAAAACAGCATTAAAATCTATCACACAACAGTAGTCATAATGCTTATTTGTTAGTTCTAGCTGCAGTTGTTTAAATTTTTTTTCTTGATTTCCATTTTGCGCATAAATATTAATTAGCATTTTCTTTGAATTTCCACCATTAGTATCCTTCCATTGTCTGAGGCAAATATTTGTTTTGGTTCCAGTTCTTTCTTTATGTACATAGCCACACCTTTCTTCTTTTTACTTATGTCCAAAGCTACAAACATTTTTCCTAACCTTGAACATTCCAGCAGTTTCTGATCTGTTCTTTTCATATGGGGTTCTTGAATGCAAATTACATCAGATTTCTGTTTCTGCAGTTGTAGAAATATCTTCTTCCGTTTTTGAGGTGAGTTCAGACCATTTATGTTGACTGAAAAAGTCTTCATTTGTTTTCTAGTCATCTTGTTGTTGATTACTATCTTTCTGTTTTCTCTTCATCATGCCTCTGGTACATCTTCGCTCAGCTGAATCCTAGCTCTGTGTCTGATTCTGATTGTGATGGGCGATCTGATTTCTCTTGAGGTCTTTCTTCTGGTTTCCCCTCCTTCTTTCCTTCTCCCTGTATCGTCAGATTTTTCTCATTTTTTCCATAAAATCTTGCACTTTCATTGGTGATGTTATATCATATCTCTGTGTATCAATTCGAAAAATAGACCTTCTGGTGTCAGCCATCTATATGAAATTCCATTTTGTTGAAGTAGTGATGCAAGGGAGGAGTATTGCTTCCTTCTTTGCCTCATTTGCCAGGGAATTTGTTTTAAGACATTTATTTTCTTATCTTCTATTATCAATTGTTTATCTTGTGAGGCTCTTAAAACCATGTCTGTAATTGATTTCTTCATAAATCTCACATGAATTGCTTATTCCTTCTGGTGTATGCTGTGTTCACCCTGAAAGTTGCTTCCAAAAATGATGAAAGTCAGCTGCTTCCATCCCTATTTCTGCAGCCAAGGCTTTACTCATTAGTATCTCTAGGTCCTCCCCTTCCTTTTCTGGCACATTCTGAAATCTGAGAAAGGCACTGGCATTTTCAAGAGGACCTTGCCTGATGATCTTAGTATCTGGACAGTTTCATTAGATGATCTCACAGATAGCCAGGGTCCAAACCATGTTAAAACTAACACCAATAGCGTTTCCCCCCCCCAAAATTAGACAGGGTCTTATATTAATTTTTGCTCCAAAAACGCATTAGGCCTTATTTTCAGGGGATGCTTTATTTTGCAGTCATGTCATCTTCTGGTTGCTACACAATGCTGCACAATGGTGGAGGGCCTGGTTTCACTTAACTAGGGCATTTTTGGGGTAGAGCTTAAATTACGAGCATCTTGAAAAATCATACTATGGCTTATTTTCAGGTTAGGTCTTATTTTGAAAGTTGCATCTTTCAAGTATAGTATTTGTAGAACAGAAATGCCCCTGAAAAGATAGAAGCTGGCCATTCCTGTATCACAAGACTGCACAATCTTGTTTCTTTTGATACTCAGTTTTAATACGATATTATAGAAACTCAAAATCTTAATCCAAGCACTTCATTGTTATGTCTTTCATACTGGTACCTACCAAAAGATGCATTTTGATGAGACAGCCATTTTAAAGAAGCAACTAGGTATGTTAAACTAATCATGATATTATGGCACAAACAACGTTCCTTCTAAGTTTCTATCCCGTTATGTGGGACCCTCGCTTTGTGTGGGAGTGGGTGGGTGGGCAAGTGCACATGCGCACAGTTTACAGGTAGCATTGGGCACAAACATCACTACAAGTTTATAAATGCCTTGGTTCAAATAAGATAAATTTTGGTTTAAATACCAGTCTTAGAAATCTAGGTTTCCCTTAATGTAAGTGGCATAACCAAGAAAAGACATTAAAGCAGCTAAAGCAGGAATAGTAGCTTTATATTTACCTTCATTCTTTTTCTCTTTTCCTTCTGCCTCCTTTTGAAATTCTCCTAAAGGAAGAATAAAAATATGAGAACTATAGCCATATAAAATACAGAACATGACAGAGTATTATCAGAAATATTTATTGGCTTATCCTGGGAAAAAAAGGGGCAAGTCATTCACTTTGTCATAGCCATTTGCACCAGAGGTCCCCAACCCATGGTCCGGTGACAGTCTGTGGCCTGAGCAGGACTGGGCCACGGAAGCACATCTCTCGCCCCCTGCACGTGCTCCCCCTATGCATGCCTATACACACACAGAGCCCACCCACCTGTACGCACAAGCACGCCACACCCATCTACGTATGCGTGAGCAAGTGCCACGTCCACCTGTGCACGAGTGTGCTATGCCCATCCGCTCATGCATGAGCGTGTGCCACATCCATCCACGCATGCATGAGCATGTGCCACGCCCATCTGTGAGCATGGAGGGTGCCCCGGCCCCCTGCGCATGGAACCCCCCCCCAGCCAGTCCGCAGTTCAGAAAAGGTTGGGGACCACTGATTTACACAACCATCCACTTGTTATTAAGAGTATTGGTATTCAAAACCTGGAATGCTATCAAAATGTATACAAACTCACAATCTTCATTAGATTACAGTGGTGCCCCGCTTGATGATTACCTCGTTAGACGAGGAAATCGCTTAACGATGAAGTTTTTGCTATCACTTTTGCCATCACAAAACGATGTTTTACTAGGGAAAAATCACTTCACGATGATCGGTTCCCTGCTTTGGGAAATGATTTTTCGCTTAACAAGGATCAAAACAGCTGATTGTCGGGATTTCAAAATGGCTCTCCGCTGTGTAAAATGGACGGATTCCTTGCTTTAAAGGCACCGGAAAATGGCCGCCCTATGGAGGATCTTCGCTGGACGCTGAGGTATTTCGCCCACTGGAATGCACTGAACTGGTGTTCAATGCATTTCAATGGGATTTTTACTTTCACTTGACAACGATTTCCACACGCCATAGCATAACATTATCATAGCAGCTAAAATCAGAAAGCAGTACATATACTTCCAGCATTTTCATCATTTTCTATTTTTTACGTGATGTTCAATCTGAAGTAATAATCTGATCAATTTATATATTTGTATACTGATTTCTGGTGGTCTTAAAAAAGACATTCTTTTGCTATCACTACCCAGATTTTTTCTCACAATTCATCCTATTGTACATATAAAAAAACTTCTATACTTTTAATGTTTTCCTCTTCTATCTAATTTTCTTGGGCCCAAGCTATCTAAAGGATCCTATCTCTCTATGGAGCTTTCTTGGCTTTTAAGACCCTCGAGGATCAAAACAGCTGATTGTCGGGATTTCAAAATGGCTCTCCGCTGTGTAAAATGGACGGATTCCTTGCTTTAAAGGCACCGGAAAATGGCCGCCCTATGGAGGATCTTCGCTGGACGCTGAGGTATTTTGCCCATTGGAATGCACTGAACTGGTGTTCAATGCATTTCAATGGGATTTTTACTTTCACTTGACAACGATTTCGTTCTACAGCAATTTTGCTGGAACGGATTATCCTCGTCAAGTGAGGCATCACTGTATTTAAATGATCGGTCTTTTCCACACGCCATAGCATAACATTATCATAGCAGCTAAAATCAGAAAGCAGTACATATACTTCCAGCATTTTCATCATTTTCTATTTTTTACGTGATGTTCAATCTGAAGTAATAATCTGATCAATTTATATATTTGTATACTGATTTCTGGTGGTCTTAAAAAAGACATTCTTTTGCTATCACTACCCAGATTTTTTCTCACAATTCATCCTATTGTACATATAAAAAAACTTCTATACTTTTAATGTTTTCCTCTTCTATCTAATTTTCTTGGGCCCAAGCTATCTAAAGGATCCTATCTCTCTATGGAGCTTTCTTGGCTTTTAAGACCCTCTGGGGAGGCTCTTCTCTCAGTTCCACCACTTTCCCAGGCTTGCTTGGTTAGGACATGGGATAAATCATTCTCATGGCTACTCCCAGGCTTTGAAATGCACTGCCCCATTAAGCTAGGCAAATACCTTCTTTTTCAGACAGTAATAAGTCAGGGTCTCAGGAATGCTGTATTTACTGAATTTAGAGATTTTTAAATGGCTTTTAAACTGTTTTAAGAATTGCTTATAAGGGTGGTTTTAAAATTGATAATTGTTTAATTGTCTTTGGGTATAGTTTTTACTGATGGCTTTTAACTGTGAATACTGTGTTATTTTAATTGTTACGAGACACCTTGGGGGTCCCTATGGAAAT